GGGTCCCCACCCCCTCCTGGGAAAAAGGGACTTCTAGGTACCTGAAGAATAATTATTTTTCTCCACACCTCTGCTTTGTTATTGGCCCAAAGCAAAACAAACACCAAAACACCCGTTTTAGTGATGTTCTGAATCCAGGTCTGTCAGACCGGAGTCACCCATCCTCCGGGAGCGCCTTGGGTGAGTGTCACTGGCTGCAGTCCTGGCAGAGGTGACAGCAGACCAGGCCCAGTGTAGCTCGTGGTCTCAAGCTCCTCAACAGCGTCACACAGAGTAAAGCCACTGACTCCTCCTCACAGAGGTTCTGTCACCAAGTCAGGGGCTGAGCTCTGGAATCTGCATTTTAACAAACCCCGAAGGAGCTGGGTGTGGAGCATGCAGGCCAGAACCCGCAGAGTTCGGGACCCGAGGGCAGCAGAGCCCCTGGGTCCGGACCAGCTCCGAGCATTCTTGGTGGCTGCCATCACGGCCGGCCCTGGATGGGGCAGCCACGTGTTCTTGCCCCGGTGCTATGAGGGGGCTGCTGTCTTGTACCTCTCACTATACAGAGGAGGGAACCGAGGCCCCGAAGGGTCCAGTAACCTGAAGAGCTGCAGTCAGAACCCCGGCCCACACCCTTCCCGCCGCCCTGAGTGACGCCTGCTCGGTGGACTGCCCACATCCATGGCCATTGTCACTCTCGAAAGAGTCATAGTTGTTTGTGCAGAAGTGACGCAGAGTGGAGGGGCGGGGGCACCCGGTAGCCTCTCCTCGGGAGCCCCCCGAGTCCCTTTGTACGGGTGACAGCAGGGCCCAGAGCCCAGGGCAGAGTGCCATTAAAAATCACCTTCTATTCCTGTCTCTTTTGTCTGGTGACCCGACCCAACAGGTCGCTCTCTGTTCTCTGGGCCGAGGGGGAAAACAGGAGGGCTAAACATAGCCTCGATTGTTTCGGCTTTTCTTCTTACACATGCTTCTCAAAGTGATAAAGATAGAAACCATTAAAACTTCATCTGCCCTGCAGACAGACCAAGTGGCCGCCTGGCTGGTGTTGACACTCAGAGCCATGCTCAGCATCTGACATGGCCCTGGGTGTTCAGAGCATCTCAGACACGACTCCTCCCGCCTGTGTCCTGGCTGCTGCACACATACCTGGCCATGGCCCCGGTGGGGTGGGGCGGTCAGGGCCCGGCTCAGGTCGGACCTGCCGGGCCCAGGAAGGGTTATGTGTGCCAGGGACAAAAGACAAGTGAGACCAGGTGAGCACCCACAGGCTGAGGTCTGCTGTGTGCCAGGCTCCGAGCTGGGCCCTGGGGGCCCTGCTGGGACTGTGCCTGAGCTGTTACGGCCCAGTGACAGATGCCGAAACAGATAATCAAGGTCCCAGTAAGCCGGAGCCCTCGGATGGAAAGTCTAGGCAAAGCTCGTGGGTGCCTGGGTGGGGCCACTAAGGGGAAGGCGTGCCCACAGAGGAAGTGACGTTTGAGTTGGCTCTCAAATGAAGGGCAGGACACTGTCAGTGGAAGGGAGGAGGAAACTATCCCAGGCCTTGGCACCTTTGCAAAGGTGTGAAGCCGAGAAAGAGCTGCCGTTTGGGGGGAAGCTACAGATGCGCTGCACTTACGCTGTACAACTTGTCGAGTTGTACTTGCATTTAACCAGTGGGCTGAGCCGAGGACTGACTCTTTGCATCCTCCCGGCAACAAAGAAATTTTCTATGTTAGGCCAGAGAGGCTTCCTCTTTCAGGGTGGGACAGTTCCTTCAGGTGATGAGGGACACTTCAGACTTGGCCTTCCAACCCTGGCCCCCACTGGGGATTTGTAACTAACCAAGAACCAACCGAATGCCCACCCCTCTGCCCACCAATGTGACTTACCTGGGTTCACTCCTGCAGTTGACGTAGCAAACTTCAGTTTGATAAAGGATTTCTGGTGCTCAAAGGGTATTCTTCGGGGGGTTGCATGCTCAGACCCAGGGCTGCATCAGGTATTTTCGAGGGTGGTTTTGATGCCACGGATTGCCGCCTGACTTCTGACGTCGCAGCAAGCCTGTTGTGCCTGCAGCGTGGGGCCTGCTGGGGGCTGGGGTGCAGGCTAGAGTGTTTGCACTCTCTCTGCAAGGCTGCACGCTGCTGCTGAAGATGGACCAGAACAGGCGTGAGCCTCGAAGGTCTCCGAGGCGGTGAGGACGCAGGGCTGGGTCGGGAGGCCAGAGGGGTCCGGAGCACCAGGACCTCGTGAGGGCCATGCAGGGGAGGTGGAGTGGCCATTCCTATCGGCCTCCGGGTTTCCCTTTCTTCTCGTGGTTTCCCTAGAGATGGGGAAATTCCAGGAAAACGCCACAGGAAGCTGTGTCCTCTGAGGATGGGCCCAATCTCTTGTCACTCCACTGGTGTCCCAAGGCCTGGGAGGGCACATTCTCTCGTGGGCCTCTCACTCCTAAACAGGGGCCACCAAGGTGCCATCTTGGGGCCCTCTCTGCTCTGGGGTGGAGCCTACTGTTTTCTCCCTGGCTGCGGTCCCGACAGAGGTGACCACAGACTGATGGGCCACACTCCTGGCCCATCTGGCGCCTCCGTGCCTTGTCCTAAAGGAGAAGTTGGTGGCTGTGCTGTTTTGTGGGAACTTCCCTGAAAGACAAAGCAGCAGACCCGGAGGAGGATGAGATCGCAGGCCCCGGCCCAGCCTGGTGGGCTTGGCGGCCACATCCTCCATGTGTTTGGAAATGCATTTGTCCTTAGAGACCGTGCAGAAACTGGAGGAAAACAAAGAGAACATGTAAATCAACCAGCTGTCTGCCTCTGGACTGCGTGCCTCTCGGTTTGCCTTTGTCTCCCAGTGTAACACGCGTCTTTTACTGAACAGGAGCCGCGCCATGTCGACCGTTTGATGTCTGTTTCGTCACACTCCGCGTTACGTCATTAGCAGTTCCGCGCGTTGTGAGTGTTCTCCGGAACTCGGCGTGCTTCACGCTCCACGTTGCTCCTTGATGGCGCACGCGTGGCACCTCACTGGCGGCTCCTGTGTGCTCTGTCCCTCTCCTGTCATTTTGAAGCAACATCATCGCACACGAGTCTGCACCTGTTTTCTGAACCTAACTTACAAGTCAGATAACAGGCGGTCGTGGCTTAGTCACCGTTAGTTTGTATCTCTTTTCATTCCGCTTTATCGCCAGTTGACTGAGCCTTCAACAGCTGACAAGTGGCAGATTGAAACCATGTTACAAGAATGATGAGTAGAGGATAGCAGTAGACTGTCTCGAACAACGTAAAATGCTACTTGCGAAAAGGTAGTTCTCGGTGGTGGTTTATCCAGGTCACTGAAAGGGACACGGGCTGACCCCTGCCACCCACCGGGGCCCGGCACATCCAGGTGGAGGCGGACAGGCTCTGTGTCTTAGGACAGGGTGGGGCGCCCTAGAAGGAGGAGTAGCCCACTCAGCCCTGGCTTGGCCTCACCTTTGGCTCATGAGGCTTCTTTTGGGCCATACTGGTCATTCATTCTCTTTGAATCTGTTAAGCAGCTGCTGCTTGTGACGCTCAGCGTGGGCTGGCCCCTCGGGGGTCACTCAGTGGCCTGCGGGAAGCGGCCTGTGGCGGGGAGCCAGGTGTGGCACCCTTGCTGTCAGGAGCATTCCTGGGGGTTGTGTCACAGTTGCTTTTGCGTGTGGCCCCCTTGCAGGACTGGGACCCCTCCTCTGCCCCGAGGGCAGGGCCGCGGACAGGCTCCCCTCAGAGCTGCAGTGCAGGGGAGAGCACCGGGGCCGGCCTGAACGTGTTGTATGTCTTGTCACTTGCTAGCTGTGGGCCCCCCTCCCAGCCTCGTCCCCGACACTGGTGGTGAAGGTGGTACCCTGCTGGCCACTGTTCCAACCCCCGGGGGATGCGCAGGACCCTGCCGCAGCGTTGTGAGTCCGCATGTGCGATGTACCTGCTGGAGGTCATTCCAGGGGTCACCCCTGCCCTTCCCTTGGCTGCCTGACTCAAGCCGTAGTCTCCCCTGTGTCCGTGTTTGCAGTGTGGGGACCCAGGGAGGCAGGGAGAGATGGGAGCACGATGACAGGTCGGTCCCCAGCCTCTGTGGTAGACACTTGGATACGGGAATGTGCAGATTTGTCTCTGTGCGCCTGACCCTCCCAGCGCCGCGCCTGACCCCACGGCAGAAAGCCCAGCCGTTCCTGACCGTGTTGCTGGCGTAACGGTTCCAGTGCAGAGGCGATGTTTCATGGCAGGGCTGGCTTGCTTGTTCCCGTGTTCAGGCAGAGGCCTGATACCCAGGCTCGACTAGGACCCTGGTGTCTCTGCAGCCCGAGACTCAACCCAGGAGGTCTTGACCACTTTAAACGTCCTCGATTTCAGCGAGGAGTCCAGTGAGCTGGAGGAAGGCGCTCAGTGAGTGGCCGCTGCTGCTGCTTCTGCTGTGGAGCATTTCGGGGGAGGGGAGAGAAGTCATTAACTGTCCGGTTTCTAGTGCCAGCGAGTATTTTGAAGGAGGAATTCAGACGAACTCATCTGCCAGCACCCCCAGCCCCTTTGACCTTGACCCGGGTCTGAAGCACCAACTGATGCATCTCTGGCATTGGTCTCCTGCCAGGGCCGTCGAGTCCCGGCCCAAGAGCCACAGGGCGTGAAGACAGATGTGACAGGCACACTTCCCGGCTCTGCTGCTGCCAGGGCTGGGGCGGGGCTGGTCGGTTTTCCAACTATAAAATGAGAAAGCATTTTGGGCAAAAGGACTGCTTTGGGCTTTCCCCTGAGGCAGTTCAGTGTGTGGGAAAGAAAACCATATCAGGAGTCCATCAGATACCTGGATTCTGGGCCTCACTCTGCTTCTAATCAGCACCTGGGACTTAGGTCCCCTCCCTGAGCCTCAGTGTCTCCTCTGTGAAGTGAGGCTGGACCGGATGGTCTTCAGGGCCTTTCTGGCTCTGAAACCCCGTAAAGCAGGCTCTTGGTGAGCAGGTCGAGGGCTGGCACGAAGGGCTTCTCAAATCCTGTTTCTCTTTGTCATTTATGAACCAGAAAATGACAGATGGCGAGACCTGGACAGGAAGTGCCCTCTTCAGATTGAGCAGCCGAGCGCCAGCATCTGGGAATGCCTGCCCGAGAAGTGTCCGGGCGGCACCCTGTGGCACCAGGAGGCTGCGACCACCTGCGCGGTGACCAACCTGATCAAAGACCTCAGCCTCAGCGACCCCAACGGGAACCCCTCCGCGCCCCCCAGCAAGCGCCAGTGCCGGTCACTGTCCTTCTCCGATGAAATGTCCAGCTGCCGGACATCGTGGAGGCCCCTGGGGTCCAAGGTCTGGACGCCCGTGGAGAAGAGACGCTGCTACAGCGGGGGCAGCGTGCCGCGCTACTGCGGCGGCTTGGGCACCATGCAGCGGAGCTCCAGCTTCAGCCTCCCTTCCCGGGCCAACGCGCTCCCCTCGCCCTGCGACCCGGCGGGGTTTCCCCACCGCTTTGGCGGCCAGCCCTGCCCAGGGGCGCCCGACTCGGCCGCCTGTGCACAGGCCGGCGACATCTGGGGCCCGGACCTGAACCCCGTGGGAGCGGCCCGGCTGGACATGCAGCGGTCTCTCTCCTGCTCGCACGAGCAGTTTTCCTTTGCCGAGTACGGCACGCCCTCCGCCAGCAGCACCCCAGCCTCAACGCCCGAGCTGGCCAGACGCCCCAGCGGGTTGTCCCGCAGCCGCTCCCAGCCCTGCGTCCTCAACGAGAAGAAGGTCGGCGTCAAACGGCGGCGCCCCGAGGAGGTGCAGGAGCAGCGGCCCTCCCTGGACTTGGCTAAGATGGCCCAGGTAAGAACCCGGCCGCGTGGGCTGGTTGCTCGCTGGAGCCTGGAGTGTCAGTGTTCTCTGTTGGAAATCAGGAGTTTTCTGTCCCTGCGAACACAGTGTGAGTGGTACAGATAGATGGTGAGAGGCAGGGTGTCGCCATGTTGCCCAGGTGACCCCCTTTTCTCGGGCGCTGCTCTGGAGCCTCTAGCTGGAGTGCCCGCAGCCACGGGAAGTAACGCACGCACAGGCCAGGTTCAGCGCCCCTTGAATAGGGCTGACCCGGTGATCGATCCGGGCTGTGGGGAGTGGCTTTGGAGACTGACACACGGGAGGCCCTTTTTATTAGACTGGAGACCCTGAGAGCGACGGGACATGGTGATCCATTGCTGTCCTCTGTCTGCAGCCTGGCACTCGTGCTGGGTCCCCTGCGTCTGGGAGCCCTGCCTGACGCTAACACTGACCTCCACTGAATGGGGTGAGCCTGGCGTCAGGGCGCCGTCATTAGGGGGCCTGGGGCCTCGGTGCCACCTGCATTTGGTTCCTACTGGGGAGGCCCGGGCAGCAGGGTTGGTCCTTGTGACCCGTCCAGTGGCAGACCAGCAGATGCAGTCGGGGGGACGCAGCGCTCTGGCCATCGCCTTTTCTGGTCTTGCCGTGTGAGCGTCAGTTGCTGCCGGGACGGAGACCTGGTCGGCCGTGAAGGCTTGGCCTCGCGTGTGCGGCCTGTGGCCACGTCTGACAGGCCGGCTTGTCGCGTCGGCTCCTTTTCCGCCCGGGCCTCCTTTCATTCCAGAATGAACATAAGTCTCTGTTGGCAGAGTTTCCTTCTCCCTCCCGTAATCCCCCCACCTGACCTCACGGTCCCCCTACTGCAGGAGAGGTGCAGGGTGTCCAGTCTAGGGCACACTCCTCACCCCGAGTCTGGGCTTCCCGGCCTGGGGCAGCCGAAGGTCAAGTGCGTGACATGCCTGCCTCCCCCATGCCTGCTGCCTCCTTGCTTCCTTGCCTACGGGTTCACAAGGGGAGGGCCCTGAATGGGAGCTGGGCAGCCCTCCACCCTCTGCCCCTCGTTTTCAAGTTTCCATTTCTCCCTCCACCACTCCAGGCGCGTCCCTTTCCTTTCCCGAGGACCGTACAGCTGGACGGCTGTGGGGCACATTCATTTACATTGGACACAGGGGTGGAATTTTCCTCCTCGGGAGGAACTGAAATAGGTAAAAAGTCTGGAGAGGTGGCAGATTTGGGTGACTTCTGAAGAAAACCCAGAGCTCTGAGCTCTGGGTGTGATAAACGGCTCCAGTTAAATGTTTAATGCTGAGCTTATTTTATTAGCTAATCAGCTAGATAGGCAATAAAGACAACTTACACGTGTGACTGTATTTTACTGGCCACAAGTTGGAAGAACAGCGCTGGGCACCCCTGGCGACGTTTTCCGCCCTCACTCGGGTAGAAGCGGTTTGAAAACACACTGCTTGGTGGGGCCGAGCCCAGATGTATAGATCGTTTCATGGGGCCCAGGCAGGCCTCCAAGGTCCCGCCGAGGCCGCCCAGTTCTGCCTGTCTTTCCCTGGCCAGGGCCTGGGTAGGGCAGAGTCCAGGGAAAGGGAAGGGGGCCCCAGGGCAGTGTGTGTGCCAGGAGGCCGCGGCCAGCCCCCTGGGGATAGACCCTGAGCCCCCACCAAGCCTGCGGACCCTGGCCAGCCCTCCCTCCAGGAGGATCTGCCTGCTTAGGCTCCCCACGGGGTGATCGATGACTTCAGGGGGTAGGCCTTGCTTTTCCAGGAGCTTTGGAAAGCTGGCCCAGGGCAGCCCCCATGTACCTGAAAGTGGCCCAGAAGCAGTCTGGGGCACGTGGGGCCCTGTGCCTGGGGCCCACGAGTGGCTGTGTGTGCAGCACTGGGTGCACAGGGACCTGCTTATGGCCCAGTGACAGCTGGTGAGGGACTTCCAGCCCCCGGGCCTTGGCCCCTGCGGGCCGTGGCTCACCCAGCCTTGTGACTGCCGGGAGGCGAGCACAGCGGGCATGTGGCGAGGTGGGCTGAGCCAAGGGCGGGCGCTGCCCCGTGCTTCCCGCCATTCCCTCTTCAGGCTGGGTCGTGGGCTCTGTCATGGGTCATTAGATGTTGGCTTACACGCTTGATTTTTTGGGAGGAGGGGGTTTTAGTCGAGCTTATTCTAATAAAGGACCCCACTTGTGCATAGGGTCTGGTGCGTGAAAGGCCCAGACTGGAGGTGCCCGGGGCCTTTCTGGTTGTTAGACCTTGGGGAGCTCCGACGGACCCTGCTCCCTGGAGGTGCCGAGCGGCCGAGGCCCTCAGGGCCCGGATGTGTGGGTACCAGGGCTGAAGGGCCCAGAGGGAGGGTGGCAGCCAGAGCCCCTCCAGTTGTCAACAGTGGAGGGAACACAGGGGAGCCAGAGGAGGACGGCAGGGGAGGACGGGGAACCCTGAGGTCCCGGGCCCTGCCCTTGTGCATGCCCACGGGAAGGGGCAAGGGCCGGGGTGGGGGGTGAGTCACTGCCCCGAGCGAGCAGCAGCGGGTGTCGGGGTCCGTGTGACCGCAGGCCTTGCCCATTCCGGCCCCGCAGAGGAAGCTGGCCCTCCCAGAGCACGGTGTTCACCTTCAGGCCCACCTCTGGCAGGGGTGTGGGCAGATCAAGGCCTCCGGGGCGGCGCAGGAGGCCTGCAGCCCCAGGCCAATTGCTTGCCATCATCTCTGGGCAGCAAATACCGCAGCCACCGACACGGGACTGTTGGAAAGAATAAGGGAAATAGTGTGTACACATGTGTGCTTATGTATGCATGACTGTATGTGTACATGTGTGCATGCATGGATACGTATGTATAAGTGTGTGTGTCTGTACCTACTTACTGGTACGGACTTGTGTGTTTATCTGTGCGTGCACACGTTGCCTGGTCCACCAGCTGGCACACAATGAGTGCTGACACGCTTACTGTTGTCACAACTGCAGGGCTTGGGAGGGGAGGCGCGAGCTCACGCTGGGCAACTCCACAGGCAGAGCTGGGATGAGGTAATACCCCGGGAGCACACTCAGTCCATTGTGCGGACCCCCTCTTTCTTCTTTTGTCCCTCTTCTCAACCCTGGTTTTACCCTTCCTTTTCCGTCCTTGCCATTTACTTCTCGTTTGTCCCTCGTCTTGCTTGGACCTCCTCTGCCGGCAAGGGTGGCCTGTCTTCCCTGTGCTCAGCCAGCCGTCGCCCCATACTCGGAGCCGAGGCTCGTCATGTGGTGGCGGAAGGTAATCGCACGGCCAGCAAGGGACATCTGCGTGCGTAGGCTCACCTGCCACCTGCCACCCACGGGACTAGGGTGGAAGCAACCAGGGACCCCCCTCTGCCCCTCCGCATGTCTCGACCTATGCTAGCTTCATTTCTGGAGCCCAGCCGTGCAGCCGGCTGGCAGCGATAGCGCTTGTCCTTGTGGCATCACTGAGGCTGAGTTGCAGAGGGTGGGGGCCTAAAAACTCCGTTCAGACCATCTTCCTTCCTGTCCTTTTAAAACCTCAGCGCCCAGCTTGTGGGTGGGGCTCAGGGTCCTGGGAGAGGGAGGGTGATTGTAGTGAGGAGAACGCCCCCACCCAGGGAGAAATGAGGTAGAGACCAGGACCAGGGGGGCTGCCCTCCCCTGGAATTGGATGGCACTGCTGCTTGAAGGCAGCCCGGGGGCCAGGCCCGCCCACCCTGCCAGGTCTGACCCTCGACTTCCCTGCACGGTTTTCCTCTCGGACCCGTTGAGGCCCCTGCTGCTGGGTGTTGTCTACAAAGCTGCAGCGTCCCTTTTGCAAAATGACATCATGTGCCACTGAGGGCACAGGGCCCGGCCTGAACCTGTGCGTTGTTTACTAGCAACACTTTTGTCAACATGCTGAGTTGCTGCTTTTTTGAAACCTGGTCAGGCCACCAAGCATCAGCTGGTCATTGGTTGAGACCCGCATTGCGTGGGACCCTTTAGACGGGGGTTGCATGCGTGTGAGCTAAGATTTCAGGAGAAGCAGCGGTTACAGATTCCCTGCTGAATGGTGCGCCCCTGGCTGTCACGGCCCTTGCTGTATTTTTAACTCCAGGCTGGTCAGCTTGAAAGAGCAACAAATTGTTTTTCTCAACAGCGCTTCCAACAGAAGCGGAGACATTTGTGAGGAGGGGTCGGGTGGAAGGAACAGAGGTGCAATTGATCGCAGCTGCCCACACACTGAGTCCTCGCCCACCGGGCAGCCTCCGGACAGGCAGCAACTGTTGTGCTAGCAGATGTTGGCAGGCTGGTGAAAGCCGGCCGGGGGCAGGTTGGGGTAGGAGGGAAGCACGGGGTAGAAGCTGTGCCCAGGGCGGTGTCCTGCAGACGAGTCCAGGGCAGCGGGATGTCTTGGGGCCCCTAGCGGGTGATGGGCAGGACGTCATCAGAGGACTCAGCACAGATGTTCCAACAGCAACTTGTGGCTCTTTGCTGGCAGGGTCGTCCCTGGGTGAGGCTCCCTCAAGTCACTTACTGTTCGCCACCCTGTGTGCCAGGGGGAGCCGCCCCGTGGGGTGGTCCCTCACACTGCTGGCTGCACGACCTTCTTGCCCAGGCAGCCCTGGAAGCTGCAGGCCAGCTGTGCTTTTCGAAAACTTGGCAGGATCCCCGGGCTCAGGCCTGGCTTGCTGAGTGTTGATGGCCTTGTGGCCACTCTGCCAGGGCCAGCCACCTTGCTGGTCCCAGTTCCCCACTGTCTTGCCCACTTAGTGCTCCTCCTGGGGAGCCAGGCCAGCAGCAAGCAGAGGAGCTCAGGGGCGGATCGCCCTTGGCAGCACAGAACGCAGACAGGCATGGTGATCTGGTGAAAGGTAGGCACGAAAAGCACTGGAATCCCACGTGGAATGAAACAAATGCTAAATAAAGTGAAGGCCAAAAGCCCCGCAGGCCCACAGGGGCCGTTGTGTCTGAGGAGGAAGTGGCCACGACAGGCTTGAAAGAGGGCGAGAGGCTGCAGGACCTGCACCGTCGGAGCTGGGAGCTGGGTTGG